GCAAAATCGTATATAGATAGAACACCACAAAGACAATATAACATTCAACCTAGAAGAGCATTTACAGAATATTCTTCTTCTGATAACGATAACAAATGTGGTTCATCAGTTGCAGATATACGAGAGCGTTTATTATCATTGAATGACAATGAACGAAAATCGGTAAATTTTAATTTTAATACCCTTGTAAGTTAACAAATATATTGAGTATTAAGAGTATATGAATTTTTGTAGACAACATCATCAACACGAGACTTTCCAAAGCCAAGACAAGGTTACGTAAATGAAGTAAAAACAAAATTTGTAGGCATGGGAGAGAGTAACAATAACGACACTCCACCATATTCTCTTATAACTTCAAATAACTATGGAGATGATGATGACATGGTAAGAGACATTTTATGAGAGAATGAGATTTTTATAATTTACTCTAATTTATATATATTTTCTTAGTATCCTGATCAAGTTGAGCATTTCGAAGATACGAATCCAGCATCCCTAAGTAAACCCATAATTAATGAACAATGTGATTGTCATAATTGTCGAGAATTAAGAAAAGCTACAATTGCGAATGACTTAACATATCATCCACAAGAGTCTTTTTTACATGAAGATGATTAACAAACTTTTGAATTATTATTATTATTATTAATTGTATTAATTGTTGTATATTTATAATAAATATCTCAGATTTATTTATTTATTTTGTATATCGATATTGAATATATAGTATCTAATATTGTAATATGATATCGTTTTTTAAAGAATCATCATAAAATATCAAGACTTTACATTTAATATTGGTGCAAAATTATCTTACGTTCTTTATCAATAGAATGTATATACTTTTAGTAGGGTTCCCGAAATATATCGTATTAAAAATTCGCCAGAGGGAACGCAACGATTGCATAGTGACCTTATCATAAAAGATTTAAGATAATTTACACTTTTTTAACAAAGTCGAGGAGTTTAGAAAGCCAGAAATGGTCGCTAATAATCGCACTTTATCACTTAAAAAATGGGAAATTCGTATGATTAGTAAATTTATAAATCTTTGTCCTAGTATCACGTATCAATGATTTTTCT